GGGTCTTATATTTTCCATGATTTTCCTCCTCATGCTCATATGTCCTCTCTTGAACACACAGAAAATGTTTATAACAGCTGTTGCCACATCTTTGTCTACTAATTCCATCATCTGTTTCACTTCTGAGTCCGATTTTTCTTTTGTTTTTAAGATTAATCACAGATTAATCCTTTTCTCATGGATAATCAGTAATCTCGAAAATTACATTAGATTATAGGTAGAACATCCCCAATATAAAAATCTAAAATCTGACATACTATGAACTGTAAAACATTTTGAGCAACATATTTTAAGTGGAAAACTCCACTTGGTTTCATGAATAAAATTATTTGAAAGTATTGTACAAAATTACCATCAGGCTATGTGTATAAGGTATATATGAACATAAATTTCATATTTAGACTTGGATCCCATCACAAGATATCTCATTCTGCATAAACAAACATTCCAAAATCTGAGCAAATGAGAAATCTGAAGAACTTGTCTGACCCAAGCATACTCGACCCATAGTAGGGTTCCAAAAAATAACGTCAGAAAAAATTGAAAATATATTTACTTCAACAGCACCCAATGCAATATAAAATTAGGGGTGATATGCCAGAAAATTTCAAGGGACCAGAAATTCAATCTCTCGTGTCCACATGCACAACAGACACAAAGAAAACCTACCACGCACTAAGGTCTTTCTCTATTGCTAAACAGAATGTTTAAAAAGGTCAAGTCAGGATTAGACATTAGTGACTAAATACAATTGCATTTTCACAAGTTTTTATTTTGTTTTCAGTATTTGGGATTGAACACAGGGCTTTTGCACTGAGCTACTTCTCCAATCCTTTTGAGACTTACCTAAGTTGCTCAATTGCTCAGGGAAGCCTGGAACTTGCAATCCTCCTGTCTCAGCCTCTTAGAGTGCTGGGATTACAGGGATGAGCCACACAAAAACTTCCAGTTTTTTTTTTTAATAGCCTATACATTAAAACAAACACCCAGACTTACTGTTACACACAAAATACAAGAAAGTGTTCTAAGCCAAACATTTCGATTTTAAAAGCACCATGTGGACATAACCTTTAAAAGTCATTAAAAGAAACAATGCATGCTTACAGTTTAAAGTTTACTTATCTGACGTTAAAGCACTGTAAATCTTGATGTGAGAATGTTTTCTCTATTATATAGAAAATTGAAGCTGGTGGATGAAGACTGAAATTCAGAAGTCCTGGGTAATTTCCTAGTCAATATTTTCACCAAGTTGCAACTAAAACCCAGCTGCCATGGGTAGGTAGGTATGTTTTCAGTTCACCATATGACTAATCAAATGAAAAACTTAATACTAAAAATGTAATATTGATTAAGAATGCATCAACTTACTCAAGGTGTGTTGACTTATTTATTTAGGTACTGAGGACTGAACCCAGGGCTTTCACTCTGAGATCTACCTTCAGTTCTTTAAAAACTTTTTGATAGCAGGTCTTGCTAAATTGTTCAGGCTATGCTCAAACTTGTGATCCTCCTGCCTCAGCATCCTAGAATGCTGGGATTATAGGCATGTATCACCACACCCAATTTGTACTTATTTGTAGACAGAGAAAGGCCTTTATTTAAATGGTTGGCACTCATAAGAAGGTATCACAAATGGGTTCTATATTCCTAAAAGAATCTCAATAATCACTGTACACATTTTCCTTCCAGAAAGTAGATTCTCACAGATATGGGCTTACTAAAATATAGCTGTTAAACCATACACTTCCTCCCTCAAATGGAAACACCCCAAATGTTTCTTCCTAAATGGATATGAAAGGACACAGTTAATGTCTTACTGCTTGAAGCACTACACTGTCCATTTGGGCCAATTTACTCACTCTGGCCAGGCATGTACATGTTACTTTACAGGTAAGGAACTTGAGCCCCAGCGGAAAGAACTAGTTCAAGCTCGGCCTGGATCCTGAAGCCATTTTTGTCACACTTAAAATTTTAAGGAATAAGCACCCTAACATACCAATTGTGATGCCCATAGCCTGAATATATATACAGCATTGTATCACTTGATGGGGCTAGGACTTTCTGAGAAATCCAGCATTAGGCAATTTTGTTGTTCTAACAGCACAGAACATACTCACCCAACCTATTTCGAGTACTCTGAGGTCTCTTGACACATTTCAGAGACTCAGTCACAGCCAGGAGAGACTGCTGCTGGAATAATGTGGCATACCATTTTAAACTTTTTTTTTTTAACTTTCTAAGGCAGTCTTTATATTTTAAAAACTAAATTGGACATCTGTAAGAAGCAACATGGAAACAATGTTTGCCAAATCAAAAACCAACGGGGGGGAAAAAGATTTTCAGGCTCCAGGTACATTTTAAAAAATTATCTTTATTTAGGTTTCTGATTCAGCACATGTATCAAAGACTAATCAACACAAAGTAAATAAGACATTAATTGGAAGTCTTACATCTCTCTAAACTCCAAGAATGTCAAGTTGCCACTATTACCAGAACTCCAACCTAGTCAAGCTGTAGACAAGCTATCATGAACAACATACAGTGTACACAGATACACAGAGGCAAAAGGCATGCTAGCGTCTGACTCTCCTCTTCTCCCTGTTGACGTCTTTCCGCTTGACCGTCCACTTTTGCATTCCAGGCTAAGTTACAAACAAAGTCCAAAGAAGACTTAGGGTCAATCTGACCAGATGCTCTTCTAGAGGAATGTATTCTTAACCTGTTGTGCCTGCAACTTTGTTTTTGCCAGGATGAAGTTTGGATGGAGATGTACAATACAATCTAGATGATGTGCAGACTAAGTCAAAAGCTAAAGTTGAGCAGTAACCCGAGTTAAGGCATGAATGCACACAACACGCACACACACACGCACACAGCGTCCACGCGATCATGAACACAGGACTCCTTCAATTGTCGACTGAGAGGCAACCTGGGTGTGGCAGTTAATCACCACTGCTGAGCATCCTGGAAAATGCTCCTGGAAACATTATGCTAACACCTTTAAAAGAGAGAGAGAAATAAGGGGGGATTCAAAAACCTAAAAGGCCCTCGATCTTTCTTATAATGGCTCTTGAGCATGGAACTCATAGCAGTGTCAATGGCTGGCTCTGTAATATTTTGGAAATAAAAGTTCGTTTTAGTCTATTTCTTTGGTAGTCATCACTACAAAGTTTTCAGTGTTGGTTACCTATAAGACAAGTACTAGACAGAAGATTGAGTTACACAGAAATATTTCTGCACTGATAGAAATATTAAGCTCTCAAAGCACAAATTTCTATGATTTTTCTTGTCTTACTGGGCATCCTCAAAAGCAAGGCTTTGTGCAGGGAAAAGCTCCTATCTACCTAACGAAGGGCAATACAGATTGTGTTTTTCTACAATTGAACAACGAACAAAAATTCACATTATCGATTATTTCTGGCCGAATTGGTTAGAAGCCAATGACAAAGACAACAGCAGCACTTGCTGTCACAGCCACATTCTGCTCACACATTCATTCCATGGTTGCTAGTCAGTTTCTCAAGAGCTCAGAATTTAAAACTCCATCCATTCAAAAAAGGAGCAAGTTAAACTAAATCTAATACACTTCCACCACCTGCCAAATTTCTAGGATTCAGTTTAGAATGCCAGCATGCTTAATGAGAGAAAGCAGTTCAGTTCAGAGCCCAGAGGTGTCAGGTACCGAGTTAATTTGGTTTTATAAAAAAAAAGGCATGGTAATCTGGCAACAGAGTCCTTATCCTATTAGCAGCACAGTGGTAGCCAAGGGTCTCTGTCAGCTGAGCGAGACAGGAAATGAAACTACTGTTGCCCCCACCTGCCTGCAAGGCGTCTGATTTTACAAGGACCTTCTGGGATCAATTCAGGGTCAGCCTGGATGAGCCAGCAACAGCATGGCAGGAATCTTGTTCAGCTCCTCCTCATGAAGTGTCCAATGTAGGCAAGTCAGTTTCCCACAGGTGAGGAGCTTCCTGCCTCTTACAGGCTCAGGACCTGAGGCTTACCAGTCTCTGGGGGCTGAGCCACTGTCAAGAAATTGTCCTAGAAGGTACTGCTCAAATGCTACAGGCTCCACATGAGGTTATAAACACCTAAAAATGACAGGATACATCATAAGTTCAAAATAGTAGTGTTTGTTCTATCAGTTCTGAATGTTTGCAGAGAGAGGCAACTAGATTTATGTTGGAAAAGTGCAGTTTAAAGGAGCTGTGTTTTGTTTTGAAGTGATGAGCCTAAGAGAACCAGCAATACACTGCAAGTCTGAAGGTCAAGAAGTACTCTCTAAAAGGCATTTATTAGGGACTGTTTGCTCACTCCAAGTGCTTTTTCACTTACCACATGGCAATGTTTTTAATTTTGTGCTTTCAGGAGATAAATATATTGATAGGAAACTGAGACAAGATTGTTACATTATGGACTTTCTTGGATACAAGACACCAACCAACAGCATTGAAATCTACAATCTCATAAAAGATTCTTGTAAACATATACCATATTTCTCCTATAAGAGAAACTAAGAACTGTACCGTGAAGGCAAAATTTGTTTGCCTAGTTTCAGAGTTCCTTGGAATGAGTAATGTACCAGCAAGGTCAGTGAGCTGTCCAAGATATCTCTGGGTTTGACATGGCCCAGTGTGATTATATTAAAAACCTAAAGCCTCAATAACAAATGTCAAACTCCTTCCCCATGTTTGAGAACTGTACTATGGTTATGTATATTACATACACATTATAAATAAAAATTGTATAGACTGATAATTTTTCTTCCTAAAAATTGAGGATGACATTCTCAATTTGGGGGTGGAGGCAGGAAAAGTCCCCCCCCCAAAAAAAAAATCCTATTGTTGCTTTTACTCTCAAGTTCTTAAAATGCTAGCCAAACACTATTATCCAGTAACACTTTTTTTTCATTCTGTTAATTCTTAAATATGCATTCGAAGGCAAAAATGGAGGCTTCTATACTGTACAATATTAAATATCTACAATGTCATGGTTCCTTATTTTTAGGAGTGTGTTCCATAAGGAGTTACGCTATTAGAGATGGTTGTCACAAAACATGAACTCTTAAAAATTACTGATAAATTAATTTTCAATTCTCTGATTATATCCAACAGATACACGTTCTCATCATAAAATATACATTCTCTAGTAAGTTATTTTCATCCACAGCATATATAAATATGCAAACACAGGTGGTAAAAATCACTTTACTACCAAAGTACAAAAAACTGCTGAGAAACAAAACAAGATGTTGCAAGTATTAAGTAAAGAGTGACTCAAGTGTTCCACTTTAAAGTGGGGAACCACACAATTTGTGCTAAATAAAGGGAAATAATGTATTCAGAATATACTTCTTTGTACACTGTACTTGCTTATATTGGGTGAAGTAAGCAGTCATCACTGTTAATGTACTACTACTTTTCTCTACACTTCTTTTCTGCCAAGCAATGCAATATTTTGTGGTCAGTATGCCAAGATATTCCTATCATGTCCATTTCAAATAGTTATTTTCTAATCGCATTTTGCACCTTTAAAATATTCATTTGAACTTCATCTCAGGAGAACACAAAAAAGAATCAAAGGAGAAATCGCCTTGGTTCTGTTATAATCACATTGCCCTCCACAGCAGAAATCAGAGCACACTCTAATTTAGAGAGCCATCAAAGCCACTGGTGGGTAGGACACATCTTGGCTCATGTTAAAGGGGGCCAGTGTAGGTAGATTAACATTTAGGATAAAGGAAAGAATCACATCTTAAAATGCAGTAATTATCCATCCCATGTATGTGGAGAAGAAACAGCCATACGATCTGGTATTTTTGGCTGTTTTACAAGAGATGATGGATGTTGATTTACACTGAAAAGAACCTATAAAAAGCATATCTGTAGAAAGCTCTATTAAACAGTAAATATATCTTGGGCAATGATTCATTTAACTCCCCATTCTACATTGATAGATTTTCAAAGGTCTGAATTGTAGTGCTGAATTCTTGGTACATCTGATAAACACCATTATAATTGGAGAAGGGGGTTAATAACAGCTCAGTAACTTTCTGCAAATTCATGAAAAAAAAAAATAAAAAAGATATCCCTTTTTATTTAACAAACCTAAAAGCCAAGAAGATGAAGCTTGGGTGGGGACCAAGCAAAAATTGCACGCTGCTGCTGTATTACCAAATACCAAAAAGCGAATGTTCCAGCCAGGGAATGGATATACACGTAGATTCAAGTAAAACACTGATGGGGAAAAAGTCGTCTGGTTAGTGTTGTAGATCCACAACACTGGCTGCGTTTCCGACAAACATTTACAACACAATGAATAGTGAAGCCTAGATAACCTCAGTGCAAATAAGTCAGATCCAAATATGCCAGGGAAGGAAGCCTTTGGCGTTGAGTAGACGGCTCCACTGGACGAGTCCCAACTTGAAATTCAGACTAAGCACATGCATTAAGGCTGGGAGGAGGGATGCACCGAATGTTGTGAAGGGGCAGGCTGCGAGGTGGCTGCCGAGGGGATGGTGGGCTGCATGGGTGGCGGAGGTGGAGGTGGAGGCGGCTGGACTGGGGTCTGTGTGTTGGGAGACGGAGGCGGTGTGGGCCGTTTGAATTTGTCAGGACTGTTGCTTCTCCGTGGTGAAGGCCTCTGTGGAGAGGATAAGAACGGCAGGTGAGCCTGGGTGCACAGCTCATTTCCAGTAGAGCACGACTTGGGGTTGAGGCTAATAAAACACCAACCGGAAAAGACAAGAAACCAGTCATTTCCTTATATATCCCGAGTGGCTCCTGAATTGGCTATGAAAACTTAAAAAACAGCATTTACACCTACACCTATTTTTAAAAAAAAAAAAGCTATATAAGGCCGGGTGTGCTGGTGCACACCTGTAACTTCAGCACTCGGGAGGCAGAGGCAGGAAGAGATCACTGTGAGTTTGAAGCCAGCCTGGGTTACATACTGAGTTCAACTACACAGCGAGACCCTGTCTCAAAATAAATAAATAAATAAATAAATACAGCTACGTAAAATCATGACAAAGCTTGCCCTGACCAATCTCTTGGACACTTCAATGAAAGTTATAAAAACAGCTGTCATGTCAACCCCTTCAATTTTTGCTGCCAGTTGTATGTCCTCCGTTCCTTCTATCATTTCTATTATGTTTTCCATATTCTTAAGGCTGCGGCTCAAGAAAAAAGTTAATACTTTAACACAAAGTCCACCAGACTGGCAAAGATTTATTTTAGAGCAATTTTTCCACAGAAAATGATTACACTTTTCCCTCCTGGGAAGGAATTTAGTTTTAACACAAGAACTTTGTGTCAACTATTGGGAATTCTCCGTAGTGTCAAAGTAAATGGGGGGAGATGAGAAGAAAGGTACGTGTTCATGGGCATCAACCCCAGTCTCCCAAAGTGGAAAGTTCTGCTTCGTACCACACAGACACTCACTGTGATGCCATGGGATGTTCCCATGTGCTGCACGTGAAGCCCTGGGGAGTTGTAGTAAGACATTCCGGCTCTAGTCAATGACGTTGGAGGTGTGAAACCAACTGTGTGACTTGCATACGAGAGACCTGGAACAGGATAAAAAATGAACTATCATTTTTAACCCTGTTATCTAGTGCCTTCGGCAATGAAGGAGGTTTTAAAAGGCAGAAGTCCAAATCACCCACAAAAACAAAACAAAACAAAACAAAACAAACAAAACAAAACAAAAAACACAAAACCAAAAACAAAGCCAGGCAGGAAGAGTTAATGGGCTCATTGACTGGAACGTTGACTAATAAGTAACATTAAAGTCAAGCCCTAGGACATAGCAGAAAGCCCAAAAAAACCCACACATTCATAATCAGCTGATATATGGCAAGGACACTAAGAATACACTAAGAATGATCTCTTCCAAAAATTGTACTGGGAAAACGGGATACCCGTATGCAGAAGAATGAAATGCGACTCTTATGTTACACCACACACACAAAAACAGACTTAAATTAAAGACTTATGATTTAAAACTGTAAACATCCTAGAGGAAAGCAACCAACAGAGCAAGAAGGCAACCTGCAGAATTAGAGAAAATATTTGCACACGTGCATCTGATAAGAGATTAATATCTGAGATATGAAGAAGTTCATATGGCAGTAAAGATAAAACAAAAAACAAAAAACAAAAATTTTAACTCATTAAAAAAATGAACAAAGGTGGCTATGTATAGCACAATGGTAGAGTGCTTGCCTAGCACATGAAAAGCCCCAGGTCTGATCTCTAGTCCCACTTATAACAACAAAAGCAATAAAAACAGCAAAAGACTTGAATAGGCATTTCTCCTAGAACATACACACATGGCTTACAGGCAAGTGAAAAGATGACATCACGAATCACCAGGGAAATGCAAATCAGAACCACAATGAGACATCCAGACTCTCCTGGAAAATAATGGCTATTTTTTTTTAGCAAAAGATTAAATGTCAGCAAACATGTAGAGAAATTGGAATCTTTGTATGTTGTTGGTGGAAACGCAAAATGGAGTGGCCAGTATGTAGTATAGTGTGGACACGCCTCCCAGAATTAAAATAGAACTACTATATAAACTAGCAATCCTACTTGTGGGTATTTATCCGTAAGACCGAACATCAGGATCTCTTAGAGGTATTTGCTCACTCATGTGTACTGGTATTATTCATGATAGCCAACATGTGGAAACAACCTACTTGTCCATCAGTGAATGAGTGGATGAAGAAAAAGGTGAAATGCATACACAATGGAATAATCTTTTTAAAATCCCGCCATGAGGAGCAATGACATGATGAACCTGGAGGACATTATGCTAAGGGCGATGAGAGCTGCAGAAGGACAAAGACCACATGGTCCCACTTACATACAGAATCAAACAGTTCAATGCATAGACACGGAGAGCAGGACGGTGGTCACTGGTAGGGACTGGGTAGGAAGAGAAGAAAGGGGATAACTGCTATTCAAGAGGCATAAAGATGGTACTAAGCAATGAATACGCTGCTGTAAAACACTGCCTCTGGTTAACAATACATACTGTATTGTACACTTAAAAATTCAAGAGGGCAGATCACACGTTGTGTTCTTACCACAATCTTATAACAAAAACAAAAACAAAAAGCCCCCCAAAAACAAAAAACAAACTCAAGCCATTGAAGCCATGCTAGGACTTCAACTGAGATGTAAGAAAAAAATAGGAAGATCTGAGAGAAGAGAATTAAGGGGAGAGCCAAATGGGGGTTAAAATCAGATATAAGAAAAGGAGAAGAAAACATATATCAACAATTAGACAGGATCTGAGTGTGTGTGTGTGTGTGTGTGTGTGTGTGTGCGCGCGGGCGCGCGTGCTGCAATAGCAAACAAAACTACTGAGAACTCTGTAACCTGAAAATATTCAATATAGGGAACAAAAGCCTATATGGAAATTAGTATGCTCGTGCTTTTTGAAAGAAAGTGACATTTAAGGAAAAATCAACCACAGCCCATTACAATGTTCTACATAATCTTCATGTAGGACCCTATGAAGAATCTGCGCTTTAAAAGTACACACATCTGGACTCATCTTATAATTAGATAGGTCTAGGCTGGGGGACAAGCAGCCATATTTTGAAAACATCCCCAAGAGGACCTTCGCCCACATGCAGTCTAAGCAGCCCTGATCTTTAAAGAGTTAGCCCTGAAAGGTTCACTGGTTGGACCATCACTTAATTATCATTGCATGCATCCAATGGTTTTCATATCTCTGAGCTTCCCACACCTAACAGGAAAGCTAACACATGGTAGATTCCATGTGAATAAAGTGAAAATAGAAACAAAGGAGAAATGTGGGTGAGTTTGAATAGGAACTTCCTAAGATCAGCCATTCTGTACCTATGACTGGCTATTAGATGCTAAGCCATATTAACCCTACTTACTGCTTTTCTGATTTACTTGAAAACAGGAAACTTTCCTGACCTTTTTTTGTTTTTTGTTTTTTTGCTTTCATGAAAGGTATTCAGTCACTGTTATGGCTTGTATCGAGATGTTCCCCCAAAGCCTCAGTCATAGGTGGGGTTTTTTGGAGGTGGCAGGATCTAGAGTGTGTGATGCTGGGATCAAGGATGTGCTGTTGGGATTGATTCATGGCACGCTACTAGGATTAAGGCTGCTCTACCCTGAGTGTGAGTGCTACTTGCCCAAAGCATGCTAGTCTGGATAATATATAAGGAACAGAAAGAGGGTCATTGCTTGTTGCTTGGCTTCTTTACTACTTTGCTGCCTTCTGCCCACCATGAACTACTTCTCTGCAATGCCCTTCTGCCATGCCACCTGCCCTGGAGGCAGCCAACTATGAACTGAAACCTCTACAAACTGTAAGGTAATAAACCTTTCCTCCTTTAATTTAGGGTATTCGGCATTTTGTCTCAGCAAAGAGAAAAGTGACTCAGACAGCCACCAAGCCTTCTCCTTTAGCTGTCCTATCACACAGGTCTTTTCTTTGCCTTCAATGTCCAATGATAAGGGTTTGTTTTATTCCTCAATTTGGTTATCAACTGGTGATGCCCTCTGTTTAACATATTTCCATTTCCAATCATGTATTTTTCAGTCACATGAACAAAATGGAATTCAGAGGCAAAACACAAGTCTTTTGGAGTTGAGTGATCACTTAATATGATGTTTACTAGTATCACCAGGGCATTATTCAGCTGAGAAATGGAAGCTTTAAATAGCTTTGGGGATGAAAACCCTAATTCTATTTCTCATGAAAGTGATGAACTTAAGATAAAAGCTATAAAAAACTTTTATTCTCAAAGAGAACTCAAGAGCTTCAAGTCTTTAAAAAAACAAAAAACTCCAACTATTTTCTGGTATTACTGGGCAAATTTCTCTGAAAAGTAGTCATGTCTGTATTAAGCCTCCAATGAAGAACTTTCAAAGATTTTTTATTGCCTACCTTACAAAATTCTAGTCTTAGGCTGCTATGAAAGACTTCTGCATTTAGCTCTAAACTGTATTCTGATGTTCTAGGTCAGTGGTTCTCAACAGTGAGCCTCAAAGTCCCGCTCAACTTACTCCACACCAAATGAATGGGCTCAGGGGAACTGGGCTCCAAGGGAGACAGGAGATTCCCAGCAATCATACCACTCCCCACTCAGAACTGTCTGTCCATCCTGTGCCCTGGAAATGTCTCCTCTTTCTTGCTTCTTCCTTCCTGCAGTGTCAGTCGGCACCTGACCCATGCTCTGAATAGGCAGAGACCCAGCTGCTGGATTATCTTGCATCTTAACTCCAAGCTTGGCAGTAAGCAATAACGCACGATTTAGTTTGCCTGTTGTGCTTTAAATTCCTTGAATAGCAAATGGGGCTACCAAAGGAAGCTACCTCACAAGATTACTTAAGGATGAGTTTTTATCTCTACCCAGGCCTGTTGTTGATGAAAAGCTCCTAGAGGTCAGAGAACATATCTTACTAATGTTTGTTTGCTCTTAAATTCTAATAATCACACATCTTGCTCTCTGGTTCAGAAACAGAACAAAGGACAAAAATAAATAGCACTTATGTTGAAATTCCTAAACTATAAACACTGGCTCACTAAATAGAATAGTTAGGCACAGCTTAAGGATGGGAATACATTCTGAGAAATGTGTCCTTAGGCAATTTCATTATAGTGCAAACATCTCAGAGTGTGCTGATACAAACTAAGGAAGCATAACCTCTCTAGGTGATACCTTTGTATATGTGGTCCATCATTGAGAGAACATCGTTATTCTGAACCTTACTGTATTTCTTTCATTGCTCAAATTGTTCTAAATTTGGTGTTTGAGAGCTCCCACATTCATCTGATGTATCCACATCATTTTGTTTTGTGAGCACTTTATTGCTTTTTTTATACTAGAAGATGTCTCAAAGCTAAAAACATCCATCTCTCCAAATAATCTAAGTTCTTCTTAATGGAGACTAGAATTAGAAACCAAGATCTGGGTGCTGGATATGTTCATTATTATTGGATGTAGACCTTATTACTGCCTCTTGCTAATCTAAATACATCAACACAAGATAATTGGGATTAGTCTTTCTTTAAGTTATATAAATAATGGACAATTGCAAAACTAACTGTTAAAAATTAACAACCAGCCTATATAAGTCCACATTTATCAAGAGTATCACTCATAAGCTTTAAGGTATATCTTTAGATTAAAAAATGTTAAAAAAAAGATGCAAAAACTTCAAAAAGTTGGTGAAAATGGAAGTTTCCTAATGTTAACTATTAAAAAGAAGGGAGGAAGAAAAGCCAAAATATTTAAAATGGAAATGAAAAGTATGCAAACATATTCCTCCTAAGGAAGTGAATCAATATTCTTAATACTAAGAACCACAAATTCTTCCAATAAAGACTAAAGTGAAAAGAAAATTGGAATATTTAAGTTTTGCTGATTTACTATATATAGCACTGCAATATATCAGATTAGAATGGAGTAATTCTGTTGCCAAGTAGAAGATAAAAATCGGCTTTGCTGATATAGAATTTAAAACAGAATAAAAATATTGTTAGTCGAGCTAAAAGAAAAGAAAATATGGTGGTACTTTTTACACAATTTAAAGGAAAACCAAATAGCTTATCTATCCAAATAACCACCACATTTGATGTAGGTCCCATTACAGGGAAGATACAGCAAGTCAAAATTATGCAAACAGGTATGGTTTTCTGCAGAGTATTTGTTCTCATAGAAGTAATATTCTGAACCAAGATCTGACATTTGTTTTTCTTTTTTTTTGATGTCTGCCAACATTCTTTTTAATCAGTTTCTTTAGGTTTAAATAAATCAAATGGGATATTAAATTATACTTACTATAAATCAGTAACCTTATCATCTACAAAATAACCCTCCATCTTGCTTCTTCCCAACTCCTGCCTTTCTTTTACATCAATAAATCAGAAGGCAAAAAAGGCCTTTATCATGATAATGAATCCCAAGTGCTATTTTGGGAAAATGAGAGGCAGCTAGGATTAGCAGCCTCTGGAGAGAGTTAAGACCCCTGGCAAGTACAGGAACAAACTCAGAAACATCATTTTTGCAAGAACAAGGGGCAGTGATCACTCTGTTCATCCATGACAAAACATCCTTTCGGCCTGCAATCAGTCCCTTTCTCCTGTCTGATGTTATACTGTAAAGAGGCCTATGCTAGACTTGTCTTTTTGTTTTCTCCTCTTTAAAGAATTCTTTTAAAAAGTCACAGCAGCATAGTGCTAAAACCAAAGCACCCAGCCGTTTCCATCTCATCCTTGACGGAAGGAACATTATAGCACCATCTCCTCTCCATCCACCTCCGGTGTGCCCCTCATTTTGATTTTTATGACAGACAAAAAGCAACCTTTAGGCTGCTGCCCCTCAAGACAGTCACCTCACTCATTGGTACCGTGAAACTCCTTCTCCATCCCCTACCCACCCCCAGCTCTGTTTAAAACCTGTTCATCAGCAGACACAAGAACATCGGTCTCATCATTTTGGTCATGAGACGCAATCCTTTGGCAGCTACCCTCTCTTCTCTCCCCCGCCTGTTTGTCATCCATCCCCTTGTCTGCTTCCTCTTCTCCCTTGCTGGATCATTTACTGCCCTCCTGACCCCGAGAGCCCCACACAGGGCTGGCACTGAGCCAGGGACCCTGGGGAGAGTGCTTTCCGGGTCAGATGAAGACAAGCATGCCTTCACGGGAAAGTCATCCAAGAGCAAAGCCAGAAGCAACCGCCAGGCAGAAGTTCATTCCCACTTCAATGGCCAGCCACTGGGGGCCAAGTCTCACATATCATGGGAAATATGAGGAGGCAGCTCATGCTAAGAACAGAGGCTCTGGACACAGCGATGCTCTGCCTTGCCACTTCCTGACAAGAGACCTCTGAATCACTGCTTTCTCAATTTTAACATGGGAAAAAATCCCTACCTTAATTAAGGATAAGAATAAGTGTACTTACAACGGTATAGGGAAGGTGGGATGGGTAGGGGAAAGGTAGTAAGGGAAAAGAAAAGAATGTGAGAGAATGAAAAGATGAAAATAAAGTGTTTGTAGATGGGGAAGGGAGGAGGGGGTGAAGGGAGGGCAGGGACAAGGGGAAAAAATGAGAACCAAGACCTGTCATGTAGAGGTACAAGATCCCAACAATGAATGTAATTGTACTGTATCCCTAAAATGTACCAATAAACTCTATTAAAGCTGAAAAAATAAAAAAAAGAATAAGTGTACTTAGAATATAGCAACACAGTACCCAAAAGCCAAGCTATAAGGCATCTTTGAAATTTACCCAAGGGTTTCATCTAAGTACTAAGATTTAACATCCTAGTCAAAGATGGCCCTCCTAAAGTATTTTAGAAACAAATTCCCTTAAAGCAAAATTAAAAAAAATTTTTTTAAATAAAAAACACCAGCTGGTGTAACAGTCCTTGTGCTGAAATTTTTCAATGTAAGTCGAGTCTTAACAGTGATTTGTTTTGCACATGACCATGACCCCCATTAATAAGACTTATTATGTTGTAGAAGGGCACATGGCAGGGCTGCCTGCTAAACCTACTGGAAGTCATGTGCTGAGGTTGCCGAAGACATACTCACCAGGTGATATAGGCCTGCTCGAACTTGGAGAAGGTGTGTAAGGGATTGGGCTAGACACAGTGCGAGGTCTTAATCCTTGTGCAGACATCTCATTAAAATACCTAAAAAGAGAAGGAGATTATCAGAACTATCTGCATTGATATAGGTCACAAGAGAATTCATATGTGAAAGTATTTGGAGTTTTCATCTTCAGGGAAAAATCCTGAATGTCTGGAGAGTGATGCCATAGCTAGGATTATCTGTAACATGGACTCCTGAGTCACACTGCTCCATTGTTTGGCAAAACTCACTCTCTACTAGGGGTGGTGAACCTTTGGCACATGTGCTGCAGTGGGCTGTTTGTATCACTGAAAGCTCTAAAAGGTTTGCCATCACTGCTGTATAATGACACGGGGTAGAGAATCCAGGATGTCCTAGGCTAGGTCACATAGCTAATGCTATTCAACAGAAGACAGGTCTTTTCTCCAGTACACCACAGCAATGCCAAAATCCACTTCCATTACTGCAAAAATCTCAAAGACTTGTTTGAATGGCTACTTCTGCATTATGACGTGAAACTCAAAACCAAGCAATTCATTGGAAAATTGTCATCAAATAAGGTTTAAAGGTACATATGGCCATGAACTGAATGTCATCTGTTTACAATACGTCTTGTTTACTTAACAAGTAGTCCCACGTTAGAATGTAATAGAAGACTTGAGAACCAAGCACACTCAATAGGTCATGCTCAGCTATACCATGCTGAGTCTGACTTATTTCTCAATTCGAAAGTCACATCAGACCCGAGAATGCTGATATGTGATCGCTGGGAACATCAGCTTGCACTTTGCCAACCAAGCAGAGTGCTGATGAGGAGAAATTTCTGCTTGAGAGACTTCCTGATAACCATCCTTCAGGAGTTTTGCAGCCACAAGTGTGTGCACCTTGACCCAAGGCAGCTCTCAGCCCTGGCACTGAGTCAGCTCACACAAGCACGGCCATTTCTATGAAGGCTGACGGGGTTCAACAAAATAAGGCTCCTTATTTTGACACACACCTCACCTAGGTGCACTTAACCCTCGGCCTTCTTTAGAGCAGCCCACCACAGTGACACAAGATGGGACCTTTCTTTGCATTCCACATCCAAGTAGGCAGCTAAAGTCACCTCTTGTGATCCTAAGTGTCAGACCCTTCTTCCAAATGCGATCCCTGCAACATTTATTTCCTCAGTCCACACTATAGCTGTTGTAGAAGTGAAGACTCCCCTATGCTTTCACCAGATTTAACACGGGACTAGACAAATCCGAGGGCAAATACAAACCCCATGTGTTTCCCTGTCCATCAAATCATTTTTAGAATGGCATCTTTCCCCCTTCTGTTTCTGTTTAAGAAGAGCATTCAATCTTCTGCATTTATTTTGAACATCTATATTAATGTGGCCCTATACACCATCACAGAAAATGTGCCGTGTGCTTAAGTCATCTTCTTCCACGTCGAACGGGATGTGAGAAAAAGTCTCTTGTGGCCGGGTTTCTGTTTTTGTTTGCAAGACTCATGGGGCACGTGCACACCTTTCATCATCCATTTCTAGGCTGGACTCGCTCTCGGAGAGCTGTCGGCAGAGGGCTTCTCTTCGCTCCATCTCCCTCTGCAGCTTCCTCTGCAGCCTCAAGTTTTCTTCCCTCATGTGACGCTCCTCCTCCAGGTACTGAGCCATTTTCTCTGAATCTGAAAAGTCAGAGTTCAAAATTAAACCATGTTCGGTGGACCCAGTAGCCACATCTAAAGTTAAGGACTCTAATGCAGCCCATAAGGGGCATGGCAACTACGGCGAGATGCTCTTTCTCACTCCCACAGACACAGATGAGGCCTGGATTTAAAGTATCCCAAGCATCAAAGCTCAGCAATGACTTACTTTTAGAAAATATGAAAGGCACTGCTGGGAGGTTAGACAGCGTCTTCCCAATCGCTGGCCTTCTAAGGTGCTTTAGGTGCAAGAGGAAATGGAGCAATCACAGCCATGACTGGATTTCGTGGCTATCAGAGCTCTTCCCTCCAGTGCTCCAGCCAGGAGAGGAGGTACCCAGTTGGGCAAAGAAATTCTGCCCACAAGCTTTCCCCTAATGTGGCTGCCTCTCCCCCTCCAGATACTGTGGGTCACCTCTGGGACCTGTCTTACACTTGTTAGTTAGCACACATCCCATGCATCGTGGCGTGGCCACACTCAGCAGCCATGTGCCAGAGAACACAAGGTAATGGTTAACATTCTTTTCTATAAAAATAGCAAGTGACATAGTAGACAAGAAAACCAGAGATTAATACTGCAAATATGCCTCCTTTGTGGTGTATGGGACACTAATGCCCTGACTCACATGCAGCCCAAGTCAGATAGTGGGTGAAGCCCTAAGCATAGCACAGCTGGCAGCTCTCGGGCTGGTGTCTTGCTTATGAGGAACACCACATCCTCAAGAGCTGCCCCACATATCCAGCTCAGCTCCAGAACCTGTCTCTGGGGCAGGGGTGTAGCTTCTGCTATAGACAATGGACCCAAGCTGAGCTACTCAGATTCTTTCTCCAGGATTAGAAATCTTCATGAGGCTCTGGAATCTAACTTCCACCAAATTCCTCTACCCTACTGAGGTTATTCTTCATAGGACTGTGCAGCACTCTCCAGCCCCCTTCTAATAAAAGATGTAAACTGCACCTTCCCCTCCTTTCTGGTTCACCTCAGACAGAACCTGCTGTTACGAAGTTATCAGAATAACCTTGATATAAAACTCAGTATCTACTCGTTCTTCTTGCTTCTTTTCTTCCCCGCCTTCGTCAATGAACTTGTGAAAAGTAAAATCTCCATACACTTATCTCTTCTGAAAAACAGCTACAAATTCTGAGAGATCACGTGCACATCTAAGACAGTTTCCTATTGGCTGCTGCTCTGTATGACTAGCCCTGTCCAAAATTAAAAAGGAACTAAAAGCCACACAGACCATTTTTCTCCCACAAGCTGACCCTACTTCAATTCCCAATACTCATCAAATTAGTTTCAGTTTTAAGCAACTCTTTGAAGATCTAGCATTTCAGCAAATAATGACTTTTGATGTTAACTGTTCAATGATTTCTAAGAACACACCATCCTAGAATATATAGTTATTTGATGTTCTTATTTTAGAAAAACAAAATACCAACATTATTAAATACTATTATGTACACTAAACACTAAATCCCCTTTTTTTTCAATATAGCCAGAAACCCTGCTGCCTAAGCCAGATGCAAATATCTCTTTAATTGAAGGCAAGCTGGGAAAAATATTTACAAAGTGCACTTTTAATAGGAACAATTTAAATCATTTCTTCACAAAAATGCAAGCACACAGAATTTTTCACTTAGCACTACAGGAAGCATTAAATTGGCCCTTAGCATAAAACTAGAAGGGTGATTGTCAGAGCCAAGTCAAGTTTCTCTTCCATAAATAGGAAAGTTTTGCAGAATTGAAGGTCCAGGGATCTCTGAACAAAAACTTATGGGGAAGAACGTCTTTGAAAGAAAATGGTAATCCATTAGCATCTGAGAAGTCAGCAGGGGACTCCTGAAATAACAACCAATAGCGGGGGATGTAGCTCATTGGTGCTGTGCCTGCCTGGCAAGCACATGATCCTGAGTTCCATCCCTGGTACTTAAAAAAAAACAAAACTATAGATAAGAATGCCATTGGAAGTGAGGAGTGGAAGATTTCCTGGGAATTCAGCAATTAACCCAGAAGCCAAGACGCAGAGAAGAATCCAGACCGAACTCCTCCAGGTGTCAAGGATCCTGACAGATGGCTGGCAGCATGGCACTCCTCGGGTGCCCTCTGCTGGCACACTGCCCAGTGGACTTAACCTGAAGGAGTCATTCTCTTCCTCCTTTCATACAGGGCTCCCTAGTCCTTGGAAGCGGGTATGTGTGTGTCACAATTTCTGTTTCCCCCATCTTCTGCTCCCCTCCTCAAATTTAGTCAAACATAGCAACAACTGAAGGTGACTCCCAGACACACTTCATAGCAAGACTCCCCAAGGTTCTAAAGGCGGCCTGTACATTTTGCACTTCCTTTCGAGTTTATGGGTAGAATTAGGAAGGCCTAGACCTTAACCAAGTCAATTAAATCAGAATCCCTGAGGATGAGGCCTCATCCTCATTTACCACTGGTAAATTCAACTCCTCAGCATACTTAATGCTCAACCAGAATTGAGGTTTACCGAGAAAGATGTTCAAGTTCCTGTGCAGTGGAGCCTGGAGGAGGTGGGGTCAATTGCCACAACCACATCCAAAGGATGCACAGGTCATGTGACGTAGGAGGACGAGGCAGATGCTAGGAACAGACATTAGCTCATCCTCTAAGCCTAATCAGAACCAACTGTAGGCAGCTCAGTGCCACTTGCTGCTGCTTTATCTTTCTCTGTCCTTGCAAAGTCAAAACAGTACTTAGAGATGCTTACCAAACCGTGCCACCAGGAGCAAAAGTGAAAATGAAAAAACCTCCCCAAGTTTCTTATAAAACAACCAAGTATAAATGAAAAAGAAAAAAGCAAACCAACAGCCCTGGAAAGAGTTCAGAAAGGCGCTAAAAGACATTTGTCTATCTAACACAGGAAAAAACAAAAACAAAACTCAAAGAGACTAAGATAATTAGTATTTGACAACTCTTTGATTTATCTCACTTGTTTTCATGGAACATAACTTGCAATTATCAACCTGAGACATACATTAGAATGACTTATATTAAAAACAACACAAATTCAGAAGACCACAAGCCTGTATGGTATTAGCAGTGGCAGGTCCACATACTAATCTCTAACACCTGCAAATGCTACTACTTCACCCAACAAAAAGGACTCTGTTCATTTGACTAAGTTAAGATTTTGAGATGCAGAGATTAAGGTATCCAGGTGGATCCAATATGTAAGGGTCCAAGGGAGAGGAATCATTGAGAAAATCACACATGAGCCTACATCACGGCCCACACCTGGTGTCTCAGCTACTCAAGAGGTTGAGGCAGAAGGATTGCAAGTCAGAGGTCACCCTGCATAACTTAGAGGGACCCGGGCCACGGAGTTAGCTCAGGGCACTGCGCCTGCCTTGCAAGTTCAAGGTCCCGAGTTCAATCCTGGTACTCCCCCCACCCAAAAGAGGAAATAACTGGGAGACCTATCTTAAAATGAAAAATAAAAACTTCTGGGGGCATCGCTCAGTGGTACAGCACCCTGAGTCCCAACCCCAGCACTTCCTGCTCCCCCCCAACACATGCACAAAAGGAGATGTGATAAGGAAGCAGAGAGGATAGTGTGGTCATGTCAGAATCCTCTGGAAGTTGGAAAAAACAGGGGTTTCAGACCCTCTCCTGAGCCTTCTAAAGGAACTCGGCCATACTGACATTTTGATGGTGGCCTCGTGAAACTTCTGGCAGACTTCTGGCCTCCAGGGCTATAAAATAATAAATCTGTATTGATTGGAGCCATTTTTTGTGTGGATTCATTGTAGCAGAAATAGGAAACTAATCCACCATACTTTTCAAAGCTTCTGGGGATGACCTTGATACACCATTCCACATGCATCACTGAACCAGAACTTGTCTCTGCAATCAACTTCAGAGACCAAATATAAAGATGGGAACCTCTGAAGTTGTGAATTTATGTTACCTCTGACCCAGTATATCTGTCTGGGATCTATGCTAAAAATGTTCATATACAGGTACAAAACACACACACAGAAACACTCCCTACACTTGTGGCATGACCAACGAAAGCGCCCATTGGTATGGGACAACTCATGATATATCCATAGAACTGAATATTATGCAGCCTTTAATAAGGCAACTTTGTATGCACCAGGAGGAAAAAAACTTCTGAGAGGGGAAACAACCTTTCCATTTGGAATTGGGCAATTATGGGTTAACTGTGCTATTAGGCAGCTATGGGTTTTCTAGGTAACCATGCTCTTTGTGAAATGCACCTGAGTAACCATGACAACTTCTGTAATCTGTCACCAAGGGAGCATAACAGGCTCAGAAAGTCCTGCCAGAGCTCTTTGCTCTTCCCCCCTGATGTTTTGCTTTGTGTAAATCCTGCTTGCTATATTCCCAGGGAAATGCCAATAAAATTAAGCCAAGTAGATGTAAAATGGGGCATATAAAAGAAGAACAAACTTCTATTTGGGGTTCACAGGGTGACATGAGTCCCTTCTGAGTCACTGGCTAATAAAGCCATTGTTGTTCCTATCTCTGCATTCAAGTCCTCTGTCTGGGAATCCCCCACAGTTCCCTGCTGCACTTCAAGCTATAAAAAATGAAAATAGGCACAAAAGAGTATGTTCCCTGTGCCACTCTTTGTATAAGTGACTTTTATACTTATATAAGGGGAGATGAAAATATACAGTAAATGCTTAAATTAGAAAAAAATCTATTTAGTAAAAGGTACACTGCCATTATTCCTACACAAAATACCACACACACACACACACACACACACACACACACACTTTGAACACACTGATCTCATTATTCTTGGCACTTTTTCTAGACGTCCTCTTCTGTGAGTGTCTTTACAAGGCATGATCAAAAATATGATGAATGTTGCTGCTGAACGCCACGTGACAGGAAAAGCAGGTTTATAAACCTGTGACAATACAGATTCTCAGATTCTCTATTGGCTGTTGCCAGAGTCAAAATGATCAAGAAAGGGGAACATTTTGAGTTGATTTAGGACACTCAGGCAGCTACAAAAGCACCTAGGAAAGGACTTCCAGGACTGCTGCAGAAAGTGACAAAATGATAGGGTGAGTGTCTGAAGTCCGGAGGGATACTTTGAGGGGAATTAGGAGCAATGTGTCTTTCACTGTTATAATGTTTTCTTAAATGTAAAGTCAACTTTTCAATCATGTCCATGTGCATCCTCTAAAAGAACACAGGAAAGATATGTAACTGTGAGAACCGGTTAGGTAGGGACCAGGGGATGAGAGACAGACTTACATTTTGACTGCATACCTTTCACTGTTATTTGATCAGCAAGGTAAATTTGAGCAGTCAAATAAGAATAGGGAGACCCAGGAAAATGCAGGGACATAATTAAGTATTCAGAAATCTTGTTCCTTTGATTTCTAACTGAACATTAACTTAATATTAACATTAAAAAATATTGGAAAAATATTAAGCAAGCATTTATTCTTTAAATACCATGAACAAATTAAAGTGACTAAAGTTAGGGCTGGGCACAGTGACACATGCCCACAATACAAGCATTCAGGAAGGCTGAGGCAGGGGGATCTCAAATTCGAGGCAAACCTAGACAATTTGTTGAAATTTACTCTTAAAATTTAAAAAAAAATAAATAAATTTTTTTTAAAGAGCTGTAGGTTTAGCTCAGTGCAAAGGCCCTGGGTTTCATTCCCAGTACTGAACCAAAACAAACAAACAAATAAATAATCCTAAATTTAGTAATAAGGATGGTAATCAGTCTATTTTCTACCTTGAGATTCCAAAAGTGCACTGAAGCCCTGGGCACTGTTTGGTTAAGCACAATCCTTGACTGAACATGAGGGCAAAGATGAAAAATATTACCTATGATTCTAGTCCCTCCTGAATTATCTTCTGAAAGTATTCTACAGTCACATCTGCTACTATACTATTTTTTTCAAATCTCTTCCAGGATGATAGTAAAGGTACGTACACATTCGTCAGTAATAAAATACACTACGAGTTTGATTAAGGCAAATTCACTGGTAAATAGGAGTAATACCATATATTAATTCAACAGACAGAAAACTCAGAGAACCCGAAGGCTACATACGCTGTAACTGAGCGGCTCTCAGTTGCTTCTTCAGCCGCTCCACCTCATTCTTTAAGAACCTGATGTGTCGCATCATGTTTTCCGGAGAATCAATCTCCATGGAGATATCCCTAGGCGATGGTGGAGCAGACACGGGCTGGTCTAATTTCTCCTGCAAGATTCTTCAATGAGAAGAAAATTTCCAATAATGAAACACAGTTTGCCTTTAAAAGACAAAATAAAATTCTGGCTGCAATGTTTCTTTTAATAGCAAGCTCTGGTTATTCTCCAGCATTCACATGGTTGCTTAACTCCTCTGCCCATTTTTACACCACTTTCTGGTCAGCCTTAGTCAGTATCTCAGGTCAAAAAGCAGAACTAAACAATCAAATCTCATTCTTGTCTTTTTCTCTTAATATTGGGTTGTGACTATTGTGCCAGGAATACTTTTAAAGTGTTAGATTTAGGGCATGGAAATAGTACAGGAGTACCTCAATGCTTTTGGTCAAACTTATGAAACACTATGAATTTCTTTAGAGGGTGAAATCATATAAAGAAATTCAACTTCTAAATTCCTCAAGCAAAATCAATGTCTAGGCCATGGCAAACTGGACAAAGGACCCTTGGCTTCTGGCCACAGCAAAGGTAAAAAAATTAAGAACCAAACCAACATTATTTGTTTAATAATCAGTGATACCACCTTATACAGAAATTATCATTAGGTTGAAGCACAGAAAATTCAATAGCTTTTGACCTACAGAATGATTATGTCAAATCTCTCCACTTGGTACGAATATATGTAAAACTTCCTACTGTACTCTATAAAAGAAGACTGACCCACAACAGATTTTTAACCCCTTTCTATATACTGCAGGCATGTCTCGGGTTTATTTTTAGCTTTTTATCCTTTGAGTTTGTACAAGTGCACATTGTAAATTACCTCTTGGCCTACCCTTATTTGAAAAACTAGCATGTTAAAATACTGGTTAACATCCCTACATTTGTTGTATAAAGTGACTTTTTGATTTTTTATAATTTATTACTGCTACAAAATGCAAAATATAGCTGATTCAAGCAAAGCTTGAATGTTTCTTGTAGACATGTTGCTAATTTTCTTTTCTTAAAACTGTGTGTCATGTATTTTATAAACTGAGAGATGAACTAAAAATAATTTATAAATGCCCATTCAAGCCCTATTTATGGCAGAAATACTTTGAGTAGCAAACAAAAGACTCTGAGGAAGTGAACTAATACACATTTTCCCCAAAACTTTACTTTTTACCTACATGCACATTTCATATTAGACAAAACCTTCCTGCCATTTATACATGTCCTGTCCCACTCATCCTCAAAGTATAAAGTGATTAAAAATGAGAGCTTAAGTGTCTTGCAGACATGAATTTAAGAAACATTTGTTGTTGAATGACATTTCACATGTCCAAATACTTTTTAAAAATCTTCACCTTATGCAGAGATATTTCCTGACACTGTAGTATATTTTAAAATGGTAGTTTTCTATTAAAATCTCAGCCTTTCCAATCCAATAAATTCTAGAGATGTATAAGAACAGCACAGACTACATCATAACTACTTTAGAAATCAGCTGAGGAAAGCAGTTGAAAAAAGGTGAAAAGTTGAAACTACAACTGCTCTTGAAAACAACAGCATCGTGATTAATTTTGTCATTGCCTTGTGACACCAAATAAAGAGAAATTCTACTGACAAAGTAAGAAAGCAAAAGCATAACAAGTGACCAATATGGGGAGAATTCAGAAGGCCAACGTGTTCTTCCTTTGGCAAATTAAAATGATATACGTTGCCCAAGGAGTTAAAACGGCCCACTGCTATCCCTTGGTCACACCCAGAAAGACACTCTAGAGACACACAAAACCCACACCAAGGACCAAGCACAAACAAACCGCTTTTCAGCTTCAAGTTTATCCATCCTTTTCCAGAGACGATTAACTAGTGCTTCTTGTTCTTGCTCCAATGTATTTTCAAGATCAATCTTCTCTCGTCTCAACTAAAGGAAGGAAGAAAAAAAGTTTTACTGAGAAAGGTAGGCCACTGAAATTTTGTTCCTGATTTTCTGGATTGAACAATTAGGATTCCCACTTGGAGAAAACTGTAAAGACACGACTGATCTTCCAGAACAGATGCATTCAGTACGTCTAGTTTTTAAACTTTAATCAAGAAAACCACAACTCGTTCATTTTTAGAGTTAATGCTTAATTATAATCTGGTATATGAAATGTATTTGTTCTTTCAGCATTTATCAAGGCATATGAACAGTCTTCCTTTGAGTTCGGGGAAGTTCTGTTTACTAGTTATACCCGGACTTTTCACATTTGTTCCTTAGTTCTGCATATAACTCAATGTTAAATCAGAGATACAAAGAACTATAAAAGGCCTGGAAACAAGCTCTACATACTAGCCACTGGAAACATGAGTGTGTATTAAAACACAAAAACAAAAAGATGACAAACACCAAATTCACTATACCGGTTACTCCAAGGATTTAGGCAAGGAGGGAAATTAATTTGGAGGAGGGTATGAAGTTGGGAAGCATATTTCAAGCTGTATTCTATTCCATAAAATGAAGCAAACTAGGAGGCAAATTCATTTAGTCTAGCAATACTAAAATAAATAAATAAATACTTAGAATAATACAATAATTACTGAGAATAATGTCAGGCCCTGGGGAAGAGGGATGTTGCAATGAACTATGGAATCTGAAATCCTGCCCTAATGGAATTTCACTTTAGTGGAGATCAAAATAGCAAGTTAAGCGAGGATATACACATCAAAGACATGGAGAAAATAAGCTGGTAAAATAGCTGTAGAAATAACTGGCCATTTGAATAAAGTATTTCCTATAACTTTTGGAACAAGTGCAAATCAGCAGCCAAGGCAATACATTAGAAAGGACATCTGTAACTGTACTTCTATCTCTCTCAGAAAGGCAGTAAAATGAGGTAATTATCACAGATCTCGAGACAAATGCATGGAGTGAAATCCAAGATCCATCAGTTGCTAGTTAGAAGACTTTGGGAAAATTTCTGCACACAACTTCTTCATTTATAAAATAAAGGTCAAAGATAATGTCTTGCTCACTGGGTTACTGTGAGTCATAGCAGAGCAAACTCATTCAACTTATTAATTACTGGTTGGCCTTTAAAAGGTGCTCAATACTTGTTGGCTACAACAATTGCAGCTTGGGTGATCTGTTTTGTTCTAGCACTCTAAGAGCCGCAGGAGCCTCAATTCTTGGCTGTCTTGTTCACGATGTACCCTCAGTGCTTAGAACAACTCCTGGCAAATTACAGTCCAACAATAAACATCGGAGGCTTGTTGGACAACTGAATGAGCCAAGATCCAACAGCAGTGAGGTGAAAACAGAGTGCAAAATACTGTTTCGCTGGTGGAAAGTGACTCTGAAGAACAGTTCAAGGGTAAGAAGTGATGAGGAGGCAGAGGAATAGGTCAAAAGCATTTTGTGCTGTGAAGTTGGAGCTGGCTACCATGCAAACAAACATTCCCCAGAATGTAAAAGCAGCTGTGCTACGTCTAGCAAAGAGGAGAAAGTCTGAATACCTTGGAGAACTCCCACTAAATATTGTGTTTCTGTGTGTTCATCACACTTTTGGCCGAAGCACAATCTGTAGGTATTTCTTTAGAGGAATACAATTTCAAGGCATTTTACCCTTTACAGACCCTGCAGTACTGTTTACCAAAAGTGAGAAGTCTTACAGGAGGTAGTTGGTAAATAAGAAAAAATAAATAAATTCAAGGCATCATGTTGCAGTACCGTGTGTAGCAGAGAAATGTACACCAAATTCCTTGTAATCATGTAGTGCTAATCTCCAATTCCGAAAAAGTCCAATCAAGAAAAACCTTTCTTTACCTATGTGTGAAATGCTAAGCATTTAAGGTTTAAGTAGCTCAGTTCCCTGCCCTAACCCTCAGCATCCTCACCTATGGACCAAGAAGGTTGACCTAGATGTCCTCTGTTTTCCCTTCCTAGTCTACTCGTTCTGTCACTTTCTGCCCATGCCCGCACTCTGAACTGGTTCAGACACAGATTTTATAACCATGAGCAGCAAGACAGATCACCTAAATCGACCCTTCCATTTTACAGGGAGAAGAAATCGTGAGCCTGCGAGGCGATGTGACCGGGCCAATGTGACACTACTCACGTGAGCCCAGACACTGGTCACGATGGCAGCCAACACTACTGGGTCCTCTTCGATAAGCAAATGCAGAGGACCCAGAAGGAAAGGAGGATTTGGGGGAAAGCTGTGGCTTAAGTCCTTTGTCAACAATAGGGAGCCTCTTACCGCCAAAAGAGAGTACCAGGAAACAGCTGAGAATGGAAAGATCCAGCTCTTACTCCTCCTACTGCCTACCTTAGCAAGCCAGGGTTTCCTGATCCCAATTCACTCTAATTTATTGTCAGAAAGCAGACAAGGGGGGAGGCCAAGATCAGCAGCTTGGATTCTCAAGTATTTAATTATATACGCTGACAGTGCTGGAGGATTTTACACTGTCTTTAACCTCAAAAAGATCAGGGTCTCTTGTTTTTTGTTTTGTTTCGTTTTCTTTCCAGTTTTAAGTATCCCAATTTGTCAATATTACTAAGGAGCTCTCACTGGCAATAAAGGCAGAAAAATTAGAAGGACTCATTGACTACTTGAGGAATTTCCACTAAATTATTATTATTATTATTAGTCCCAGTGATCTAACTTGGGCCCTTGCACTTGCAAGGCAGGTGGTGGAATCACTGAGCCAAATCCCCAGCCCTCCACTAAATTTTTATTTATATTTCCTCATTGAGTTTACTGGTACATTTTGGGTATACAGTACAGTTACATACATTATTGCGATCTTGTACCTTTACATGACAGGACTTGGTTCTCATTTTTTCCCCTTGTCCCTGCCCTCCCTTCACCCCCTCCTCCCCTTCCCGTTTACAAACACTTTATTTCCATTTTTTCATTTTCTCATATTTGTTTCTTTTCCCTTATTCCCTTTCCCCTACCCTTCCCACTTCCCCTACGCCTTTAGCCCTTTCTTCCTATTTTCCATTGTCATTATCTCATTAGGACCTTATGTACTATGACAGTTTATTCACACCAGAGACACTATTCGGTATTGACACACGCGTGACCTATTTCACTTAGGAGTTCATCCTCAGTATGGAGTTGTCCCACCACCGCTGCCTGCTCACCTAATTTCACGTCATATATGTTCAGGGCCCAACTATATGTTGGTTCTGCCAACTCAGTGGATTTTCAGTGCTTGCTTTGTCCCAGTCATTTATGATCTTACAATATATGTTAGGTTTCCAGAGTAAGAAGTTGGAAATTCTTCCCTGAGATGAACACATCAGCCCAGTGATGCAGCTCTTTTAATATGCTGGTTTGTCTTAAATGTCCCCATCTCTCTCCCAGTTTTTTTTTCTTTAATTCAGCTTTCACACAAGTACAAACTAGTACTATTAGTCAAATATCTAACATTCAGGCTAACCCAGGCCCTCCTGACTTATTGTTCTGTAAGTACCCAACACCAACAACTGTTGTAAGTACCAACAGCTGATGTGCAGAATATTTATTTGCAAGACTACCTTCTAATTCAGTTCAATGGACTGCCAAAGTCTTGGTTAAGAGCCCTACTTCTTATTGTAAGTTAATTAACTTCAGGCCAAGACATATTATGTTCCCAAAATAAATGTAGAACTTCAATAAACTTAGTTTATAAAAATACCCATGGCTCATTTGAATTCACAGCCTGTCCTCCCCTCATCTTTGTGGTACGCAGGTGCTGACCACCAGGTAAGAAGCATAAAAGGGAGAAGCAGCCAAGCAACAGCTCCAGGTGCTGCCAAATTTCTTTCTCACTATTCTATTTTCTCATTTAAAGAGGACTCTGATGCTAGAGTGAGGATGGGGGAAAAGAAATACTTGACCAAAAAAGTCTGATAAGAACCACTCAAAGTGCTGACCTGGAGGTATACCAGAATTACTTGGGAAAATAAAAGTATAATATTCAGAAAAACGACAACATTCAAACAAGAAAAATGAGCACAGTGTTTTGTTTCCTACCACAAGAGCAGAGATGACAAAAGATCTTGGCCAAATCCCATCCTACTTTCATATACATCTGGAGTAATCTTAAGTTTTGCAACAACATTGAAAAGTAACAAAGAGGACTTTTGAGAAGACTATAGAAATACTCTGCATCATGTTCAACTGGCACAAAAATAGCTGACAACAACGCATAGTGGGCCAAACCCTTCACAAACTAAAGCAATGGAGAAAAGTCAAAGAAAACGCAAGCTCTGCCTATGTTGGCTTCTGCTAAGGCAAACGGTATTTTTCTCAGAATTCTCCTCCGAGGCTGGAAGGCATCTGACCCTTGCCTTTGGGAAGAAATCCTTTTTCAACAAGCCAAGCAGCCAACTGGTACTGCAGACGCATCAAAGCAGGTGTTCACAGATCAGAGTGGCTCAAGGTCCTTTTCTGATTAACTAAGAACAAGTTCTAGGGCGTCCCCATGGCTTATGCAAAGGGACAGTGGAAATCTGCCAATGATGAGAAAGAAAAGGGGGGTGCGGAAGGACAGTCACTTTCAAATCTAGGAGGTTAAAATTACCACGGAAAATAAATTTATCTGTGTACAGCAGAAATACACAAAGAACAAGATGCCAAAAAACTCAGGAAGAACTATACAGTAAGATTAAATATGGCTGTCTGTTGAAGGTAATGCTGCTCATTAATCTGCCTATTTTTTCCTTCCCCAATCAATCTTTTAATGGACATCTAGTATTTTTATAACAGAAAAAAAAACAAAAAAAACTAAAGACATCCCATCTTAGAAATCTGACAGCTTCCTAATATATGTGATAGTATACTCATTAATATTGATTCTTTAGTGGGACATTCATTTATATAATATTAAATATCAAAGAAGCCACTTGATTCTTAGAAGGATAAATAATAAAGAAGGTGCAGCTATCTGAAAGAT